GCTGTTCCATTACAAGTTCCATCGCGACGCCACTGTGATGCTTAGAAGTATATGAATGAAGAATTAAAGATCTGCACAAACGAATGTATTGTATTTAGAATTCGAAATCAAGCATTTCACAACAACAAGAAGTTACTAGTTCATTCAAACACCACAATAATCTCAGTCAAAAAGCGAGCCTCATGGTAAAAGTTCAACCCCTGGAACGTCAGGTGATGAAAGCGTCGTATCAAAAAGCACGTCAATGATAAAGAAACAGTAAGTAAAAGGAAGTGTTGAATGAAATACAGCACGCCCAGACATAGCGCACATTCGTATTATTAATATTTTACCGGCTTTAATTCTAACTAACTCCGCCAGTAGAACCTTAGGGGCTACTGCCGGTCCCAAGCCCGGATAAAGGAGGAGGGTTAGACATGGGGTTGGCGACCCCATTCCGTTGAAATCTCACTTGCCAAAAAAACGCTAACCAGAAAAAATAATTCAAACCATTTTAACTCTGCCCTGGAAGTTACAGGAAGAATTATGACGTCGCGTGATGAAAGCCGAGTTCCCTCGGAAGTCACAGGGCCAATGCCTCTTCTGACAACCAGAGCAACCATTCTTTTAGGTACATGGAACGTTCGTACATTGCGGGAGACTGGAAGACTATTTCAAGTTGCGGCAGAAATGAAAAGATACAACCTCGAGGTGCTCGGCATCAGTGAAACACATTGGACACAAGTAGGACAACTGAGACTAGCTTCAGGGCAACTGCTGTTATACTCTGGTCATGAAGAGGAAAACGCTTCACATACAAAACGAGTTGCACTGATGCTGTCCAAACATTCACAAAAGGCACTGATAGGATGGGAATCTCATGGACCCAGGATCATTAAAGCATCCTTCAAAACAAAGAAAGAGGACATTACAATGAACGTCATCCAATGTTATGCACCTACCAATGACTACAATGACGACGTTAAAGATCAATTCTACGAAAGGCTGCAGTCAATCGTCGAGAAATGTTCACCAAACGATTTGACGATTCTTATGGGAGACCTGAATGCCAAGGTTGGAATGGACAACACTGGATATGAAGACATCATGGGACGACATGGACTGAGAGAAAGGAACGAAAACGGTGAGAGATTTGCAAACCTATGTGCCTTCAACAAACTGGTCATCGGTGGCACAATATTCCCGCACAAACGCATACACAAAGCCATATGGATTTCACCGGACCACACTACTCAAAACCAAATTGACCATATCTGTATCAACAAAAATTTCAGGAGGACCATGGAGGATGTGAGAACCAAGAGAGGAGCTGATATAGCCTCAGATCACCACTTGCTGATCGCCAAAATGAGATTGAAGCTAAAGAAGCACTGGACAGCGGGGCAGACAACATTACAGAAGTTTAATACAGCCTTTCTTCGGGATACCGTAAAACTCAACGAATTCAAGATAGCCCTCACCAATAGGTTCCAGGCCTTTCAGGATCTACTCAATGGAGAGGAAGCAACATTGGAGAACAATTGGAAAGGGATCGAGGACGCAATCACTTCAACATGTCAGGAGGTCCTTGGTCGCAAGAAGCACCATCATAAGGAATGGATCTCTGTTGGTACTCTTGAAAAAATTCAAGAAAGGAGGAACAAGAAGGCAGCAGTGAATGTCAGCCGAACAAGAGCAGAGAAAGTTAAGGCGCCAGCCGAGTATACAGAAGCAAACAGGGAAGTGAAGAAGAGCATCAGAGCTGACAAACGAAAATATATGGAAGATCTAGCAATGACGGCGGAAAAGGCTGCAAGAGAAGGAAACATGAGACAATTGTAAGAAACAACGAAGAAGCTCGCCGGAAACTATCGTAAACCAGAACGACCAGTGAAAAGCAAGGAAGGGAAAATAATCAGCAACACTGAAGAACAGCGAAATAGGTGGGCGGAGCACTTTAAGGAACTATTGAATCGACCAGCTCCACTGAACCCACCCAACATTGAAGCAGCATCCAAGGACCTCCCAATTAATATTGGCGCACCTACGATTGAGGAGATCAGTATAGCCATCAGACAAATCAAGAGCGGCAAAGCAGCAGGACCAGACAACATTCCAACAGAGGCAATGAAAGCAGATGTGGAAGCAACTGCGAAAATATTTCACATCCTCTTCAAGAAGATTTGGGATGAGGAACAAGTACCATCAGATTGGAAAGAAGGATACCTCATCAAAATACCAAAGAAAGGCGATCTCAGCAAGTGTGAGAACTACAGAGGCATCACTCTTCTTTCAATACCAGGCAAAGTCTTCAACAGAGTATTGTTAAACAGAATGAAGGACTTCGTAGACGCCCAACTTCGAGATCAACAGGCTGGATTTCGTAAGGATCGATCGTGTACTGACCAAATTGCTACATTACGGATCATTGTGGAACAATCAATTGAATGGAACTCACCACTCTACATCAACTTCATCGACTACAGCTGACAGACTCTTTCGAGGTGAAGACCGGTGTCAGGCAAGGTTGCTTACTCTCACCCTTTCTCTTTCTCCCGGTCATCGACTGGATTATGAAGACGTCAACATCTGGAGGGAAGCATGGTATCAACTGGACAGTTAGGACGCAGCTGGACGATCTGGACTTCGCAGATGACCTGGCTCACCTATCGCACACGCAACAAAACGTGCAAGAGAAGACGACCAGTGTAGCAGCATTCTCTGCAGCAGTAGGTCTCAACATACATAAAGGAAAAAGCAAAATTCTCCGATGCAACACAACATGCACCAACCGAATCACGCTTGATGGAGATACCTTGGAGGACGTTAACAACTTCACGTATCTTGGCAGCATCATCGACGAGAAAGGTGGATCGGACGCAGATGTGAGGGTGCGGATTGGCAAAGCAAGGGCTGCATTTCTACAGTTGAAAAATATCTGGAACTCCAAACAACTTTCAAACAAAACCAAAATCAGGATTTTCAATACAAATGTGAAGACAGTGCTACTGTATGGAGCGGAAACATGGAGAACTACCAAAGCCATCATCCAGAAGATACAAGTGTTTATTAACAGTTGTCTGCGCAAAATACTTCGGATTCGTTGGCCAGACACCATCAGCAACAACGAACTGTGGGAGAGAACAAGCCAGATCCCAATGGAGGAGGAAATGAGGAAGAAGCGGTGGAAGTGGATAGGACACACACTACGGAAAGCACCGAACTGCGTCACGAGACAAGCCCTCACATGGAACCCTCAAGGCAAAAGGAAAAGAGGAAGGCCAAAGAATACATTACGCCGAGAAATAGAGAAAGATATGAGAGGAATGAACAAACATTGGACAGAACTGGAGAGGGAAGCCCAGGACAGAGTTGGTTGGAGAAAACTGGTGGGCGGCCTATGCTCCATTGGGGGTAACAGGCGTAAGTAAGTAAGTAAGTTTAATTCTAACTCACGGAAATCATTCCCTAAATTTTAATAGAGAACTTTTAAAGGTTGGGACATTAATTCGTAGAATCTCACCAGATAATTTTAAAAGAGTATAGTGGAAATTAATAATAATCAGAGGAGTAAGACTGAAAATTCTCTTAACCCAGATCATGTGTACTTCTAAAGGAGATCCTCTTATGTAGCTAGTTCGCGACGTTTAAATAATTCGAACTTGTTGTAGGACCTAAGATATGTCTAGAGGATGGAATTAAACATGAGGCAGCTTTAAATGAAGTAGAAATTCATCGAAGAAACGGAAATAACTGCTCTTAGTTGAATTCTGAAAAGTGAGGTATAGGTGCTAACATGGCCTGAATGGAATAACAAACGGTGAATCAATAGTCAGGCATATTTCCTACTTAATAAAAACTTTAAACTTACGGTAAGTACAAAATGGCACAAATAATTAGGTGCTTCAATATAACACGTTCAACCGATCTAAAAGATTCCGTTTATTTTGGATCATTCTTATTAGAATCATATTTTTCATATTGAGTCAGCTGAAGTTTCAACATTTGTGTTTGCCACAGTTAACTGACTACTACAAAACGTAAGGCTTCTCTGATAAGCTGTTTGGATTGTAAAACAAAGCTAACACCAAAACATCAATTCACTGTGACTTGCTCTTTGTATTCTGTATATCAACATAATTTCTAAACATTACGTCAGATGGAATCTCCTATATTCGTAAGATTATTTGCCCATTCACTAACCTACTAGTGACTTCATTAACCTACGTAAGTGCAGGTGTACAGTTAGTGTTCTAATACAGTAAAATAAACGTTCGAGAAATCATACATTTGTTTTCTCCCAAAATATTAGCTGCTGAGTCATGACTCCGCTTTAAATAACAGTATTCTCTGTTTTGCTCCTCGCCCCTTTTTCTTTATTTCTCATTATCAGCACCTTATACCACACCTCAGATATTAGCCTTGATATTGTGGAAGATTTGTTCGCTTTACCCAGGAGCCTATCGAATCATGGGATTCAAGCTGCTTGTTTTTATTGCAAGTTTGAAGCAAATATGTTAGCACGAGGTCAACGGAAAAGGATCAAAATATTCTAATATTTCAATGATCTGTCTTATGAAAACGGAATGAAACGCCTCAGATTGTTTCCGTTATCTAACAGTATGTAACAAGATTTAATTATGACTTACCTAAAAATCAAAAACCAGCATCAGGTGATTTATGTTAAGAATTTTGTTCCTGTCATCCGGCATTTCTCTATACAACATGTAAAATCAGCACTTCCTGTTGATACATTCACCACAAGTTAGAACCGTCGAAGCTGTAAAAAATCAACTAAGAATATAGTTCCCTTGTCCCGCTAATAAAGCATTACAATCCATTGAACACTAGATCACCCATTGGACACTAACAAATACCTGGAATTGTCCGGAAAGATCAAGACACGAGCTCAAATAAATCAGTCTGTCTATACTAGCTCATGAAAAATATATTGGAGATATTGGTAGACTGAGGACAGAAAAACGTTTCAGCGGTCATTTTGGTAGTCGTGGACTGTTGTAATGACAAGTGCGGTACGCAAGAAACTTGTCATTGTTGGAGATGGAGCATGTGGAAAGACTTGTCTACTCATTGTGTTTAGTAAAGACCAGTTTCCTGAAGTTTATGTTCCTACCGTATTCGAAAACTATGTTGCAGATATCGAGGTCGAAAGTAAACATGTAGGTGTAAAGTAATTTATCAAAGTTGTAGGTCGAATTAGCTCTCTGGGACACAGCTGGTCAAGAAGATTATGATAGATTACGACCGCTTTCTTATCCTGAAACGGACGTTGTTCTTTTGTGTTACAGTATTGATAGCCCTGATAGCCTGGAAAACATTTCTGAGAAATGGGCGCCAGAAGTATGCACCACAAGTTCATAAATCTTACTTTAGATCAAACATTTTTGTCCCAATGTCCCTATTATCTTAGTTGGAAACAAAAAGGATTTGCGAGATGACGAGGCTACAAAGAATGAGCTACGCAGAATGAAGCAAGAACCTGTCAAACATGATGAAGGTTCTGCAATGGCTACGCGGATCGATGCGGATGGATTTTATGAATGTTCAGGTACTTTTGTTATTGCTAGCTAGCCTTCTTTAGCTAAAACTAAGGAAGGAGTTCGCGAAGTTTTTGTGGAAGCTACTAAAGCAGCTTTGCGATCAAAGAAGAAGAAGAAAAGGATGTGTGATTTAATTTAATTCTCGGTTTTCCTTATGTAGTCTAATTCTGATTCTCCGGTCTGAAAAACACATTCCTCCTAATTTTCCTTCAGGACCTTAGATTGCCACTTGTATTAACGACTCTCTTCTTTAACGATCATGTTTTCGATTTACTAAAGACAATCCATTCCGCGGCAATATTTACCAGTTGTTTTTATCATGATATTAAGAAAAATTTTTAACTTTGTTTTTCAGCGCATATGCGTGTTAACTGTAACAAAATACACAAAGCCTATATACTAACAATCTTTTATTGCAAGATTGTGTTAAATAATTGTTACGCGTCTACTTACTGTGTTATGCTGCGTATATTCACGAGTGCAGGGTGGAAAGTTGTCTTATTAATTTTTATTTGGTTTTCTAGTGATAAAACTCGAGATCAATTAGTGCCACTTTTCCAGTTAAATCTATCGTATCTGTATTGGCTTAAAGCTATGTAGGTACTGTTGATAAGATATTTTACTTTAGAACACCATTACTTTGTAAAAAATATAGTGAGTGTTATGATTATCTCCTTAACGAAAAAGAGCTACTAGGTTCTGTCGTATGGCTGTCTCATTGTTCCTTGTCGTGCAACTTTCCCCACACGTTGATAGGTGTCTCACATATATTCGTTCGTCAGCTTAAATATTCCTCCTTATTTGCTTGTTTGCTTCTGTATATTCAACGTTTGCCTTGGCTTCTATGCTATTGTCCAGCTGGTATTGATTTCTAACTTCTTTTCCTAAATCTTATCCAGAGTATCAACAGACATCCAGTCCCTTATGATGGTCGCTCTTTTGGCCCAAAACCTCACAGCATACTTTAGTATATTTCCACTTGTTCTCCACCGTACTCTCAGTCAGTGAGTTGATACGTAGAACCTCGTACGTAAGTACATCATTTCGGGTTGCCGTACCACATTAGCACAGACGCAATTGTCAGTCCAAATCCCATTGTGGTAGAGATAGTAGAAGTATTACTGGTAATGGGGAAGATTAGGATTTGAAGACATTACTCAGGAAGTATAATTCAGTGAGATAAGTTTAGAAAGACTAAGGAAGAGGTGTTGACGAATCCAGAAGGTTAGGATTTGAGAGAACAAAAAGCGGATGCACCTGCGCCATCGCACACGATTTTGAGCCATGTCATTCAAGGTCTCTAACCATCGGTGACTCGTCTCGCGGGCCCCAACCAGGTAGTCTACATCTACCAACATGACTCAGTCTACTTGTCAGTGACTTGATGAATTTCTGCCATGTTTTGGTCTGGCCGCCCCTAGCTTTCTTCCAACCTATTCCTAGATCGTAAAACATAGCTCGACGAGGCAGTCGGTGGTTAGCCATACGCAACACATGTCCCAACTACCTCAACTGATAAAGTTTCACCACTTCATCTATTGATCTGCCATTCTTACCTAGCATTCGTTTCCTAACGACAGCATTGCTTACTCGGTTGTCCCACGGTATACGAGCAATGCTTCTTAAACATCGAATACTATTAACCTACGAACATCTACTCTTAATGGCCATGTTTCACAGCCATATAGGAGAACGGAGCGAACTGCTGCGCAGTACACCCGTCCTTTTGTTAGCGGACGGATATCACGCCTACGCCATAAGTGACGCAGGTTTGCAAAAGTCAATCGAGCTTTCTGTATCCGCGCTAAGATTTTGTCAGTCACCAGGCTATGATGAGACTCCCCAGATAAGTGAAGTGATCAACGCGCTCGACTACTTCACTCCCTATCACTAGTTCTGGTACCGATGCAACCCAATCTTGAAGCAACATTTTGCATTTCGAGGAGGAAAACCGCATCCCGAACATGCTCGCATTGTTGCTTATGGTAGTCAGAAGATTCTGCATTTTGTCAGCGTCTTCACCGAATAGAACTATGTCATCGGCATATTCTAGATCAGTGAGCGACTTTCCTGGTAGAAGGTCAACCCCTGAAAAATCTGACGAGCTTAATGTTAACTCTAAGAGGATGTCTACGACAAAGTTAAACAAGAATGGAGAGAGTGGACATCCCTGACGGACGCCACTTGAAGTAGAGAATTCAGATGACAGTTCACCATAGCTAATGATGCCTGTTGCCCCATTTGACACAATGTCCGTACGTTAAATGTGATAAAGGAATGTGGGTGGAGTTGGTCGTGGAGATAAGAGAGCCAATATAGCTTGGCTGGAACTTATGTTCCTGAAGGTTCTACCATGCCAGGCAGGAGAACGATGAGACTAAAAGCAGTTACTCAAGGTCTGAGGGCGAAGTCGTACTGCTGACTCCAGAGGGGTGTGACAGCAGTAAGGTGTATCCCCCGACAATCAGCATCTGCAGCGGTGTTGTCTTCTCACAAGGAAGGAAGGGTTAGAAACAGTCGACCCTAAAAATGTCACACATCACCCTACCTCACGGATTTCCGTCTTCGGCGGTAAGGATGCCCACTAAGGGCTTTTAAGAACGGAGCTAACACTCAAAAAACTTCTCATAAAAAGGCCGTGCGTGACCGGCCTCAAGCAGTTGTCCCTTGGGCTCTGCGGTCACGCACCTAGGTCTCCATGACCAACACTTATCTATCTTCCTTTTCAGGTTACTCAAGAAACAACCTTCCACGGTGTGGGCAGCCGGGAAATGACAACAGCCCTCATACCCGCTACAGCAGGAGAGACCAAATTGGTCACAAACTCATCCTTTCTAAACCCCCTAACATCTCTCTTATCTCCACGACCAACTCTACCCACATTCCTTTATCACACTGCACAGCAAATGGAAACGATGCGAGTTAACGAAAAGTTTTTCCTGGATTTTTGAGACCCCGTTCTAGACTACATGTTGGAGCATTTAACGTACGGACATTGTGTCAAATGGTGCAACAGGCTTCGTTAGCTAGAACTTTAGAATCTCGTGCCATCGATGTATGCCGCGTCTCGGGAACGCGCATGCAGAATCCTAGTAAAATCAATAACCTGATTTCACCTTATCAAAATAAAGAAGCAGCCCGATTTACTCTTCGTGTATCCGGTAGCCCTGATGCTGCTTCCAGGTGCCTCGCTGGTGTAGGTATAGCATTGAGTCCTAGGGCAGAACTAGCTCTCCTAGAATGGGTCCCAGTAGATAGTCGCTTGTGCGCTGTCCGACTGAACGGAACAGTAAGGTAATAGATGAGTTTTACAGAAAGCTTTCGGACCTCCTCCAAAAAGCTAGGCGCTCTGATATAGTAATAATGGCTGGTGACTTGAATGCTCTAGTAGGTAGACTAAGTGAAAATGAAAGACACCTAAGTGGATGTTATGGTCTCGCGGCTCAAAGAACAGACAATGCCGACCGTATGTTGCAACTGTGCTCAGATAACGGCCTATTTCTAGCAAACACTAATTATAAGCATAAGGAAAAACATCTTTCGACCTGGAGACCACCAAAATCGTCTCAATGTTGGACGCAACTAGATCATATCGCCATCAGCCGCCGATGGAGGGGTTCGATAGAGGACTACCGCTCGTTCTGAGCCACATGTTTGTATTCAGATCATGCCCTATTGCGAGCTCGTATTTGTTTGAGGCTTACTGGACGTAGGAAAGACACCGTAAGGAGGCCTCTCAGGGTTCTACTTAATGATAATGAGGCGAAGAATATATTCCAGGAAAAACTAGAAAGAGAGGCAACCATGTAAGTGATTCCCATCCGGAGACAGCTTGAAATGATATCAAAAAGGCTGTGGAAACAGCAGTGATATCTGCTAGTAAGGTAAACCATAAGCCTACGAAGAAGCCATGGATCTCAGTGGCATCCATCAATTTGAAAAACGCTCGTAAACCCATTCCGTCTGACTCCGCGTACGATGAGGAGCGGAGTCAGCTTAAGCGCAGGCTGACACATCAAGGAAACCGGTATTAGGAACCCGACTATAAGTGAGACTATATCGGAAAAGGATGAGCTTATTATCCATTCTCAATGCAGGAGATTGGATCGATGGACAGAACACTTCAGGGATCAGTCCAATTGGCCTTCAGCCACACTTCGGTTGCCCACGATTTCCAGTCATCTTGAATGGCAAATGGACGCAAGTCCTCCGAATCTTTATGGAGTTGAGAAAGCTATAGAAAATCTGAAGCGAGGAAAAGCAACAGGGCTTAATAGGCTTACCCCTGAGATGTTTAAGGATGGTGGTTCAGTTTTAGCAGTTAGATTGACTGAAATCCTAAGTGGAATTTGGCAACTTGGCGTAATCCCATCTAGCTGGTTTTAATTGCCGATTGTCTCAATTTATAAGAAAGGACACAAGTCTTCTTGTGACAATCACAGAGGAATCAGTCTAACTAATATAGTATCTAAATTGTTTGCCTCCATTATACGTAGACGCCTAACTAGAACTCGTGAAGCGCAGACTCGAGAAAACCAGGTTGGTTTTCGATTAGGACGTGGCTGTATAGACCACATCTTCACACTACGACAGGTCCTGCAACATGGACACACAGGCGTCCGACAATAGTTGTCTTTGTGGACCTTAAGGAGGCATTTGACTCTGTGGATCGTGAGGTTCTGTGGCAGTGCCTATCATTAAAGGGTGTACTGAAGAAGTAGATTACCTTATACAAGCTCTCTACTCGAACACCACTGGTCCAGCGAGAGCTTATAGCGAACTGTCACCGAAATTCTCTACTTCGTGTGGTGTCCATCAGGGATGTCCACTTTCCCCATTCTTTTTCAATTTTGTCATAGACACGCTGCTAGTGATAACATTATCTTCCTACCAGCAAGCTCACCTACTGAATTAGAATATGCCGATGACATAGCTCTATTTGCGAAGACGTTGACAAAATGCAGTCTTCTGACTACGCTAAGCAACAATGCAAGCATGTTCGGAATGAGGTTCTCCCCGTCGAGATGCAAA